TACATGTAATTTTGCTTCAGTTTTCTTTTCCAGAGTTTATATATTTCCCTTATTCATTAATAAAAGTATGAGAAAACTAAGTTATTGACCGTGGTGACGACAGCGGATAAAGACATGATTTTAGGTATTACAAGCATTTTCATACGTTCAAAAAACGTTCAAGCATAATTCAACGTTCCCAAAAAAATAATACTGATTATAAAGGAAGAGTGTCACTGTTTGTGGTAAAGATCTCCCTGTCACGCAATCCTTACTGGACATTTGGAGACAGCGGACGAGAGTTCACGGCAGCGAATACACAAACAACATTTGGCGCTGATGCATGGTAGGTACAAATTTATAAACAATACTCAAATCAAAGTACAAATATGGCAAAAATTTATTTTACGGTTTGTATCTGTCCTCGGCCGCTTCGAACTAGACCCTGTTACGTTTTGGGTTGTTTTGTTTCGTAAATAACCGCTAAAGTTTTAAATCTCAGTTAAGCTGAGCTGCAGAAGCGACAAATGTTGAACAATGTTAACTTTTTATTCAGTTTGGTAACGATATTTCGCTCCTAAAGCGGTCTGTTATCTTTTCCACGTGCGCATTGTTGATTTTTCACCACCCATTGCGTGACAAGGAATGGTGCGTTTTAACCTCTGAGTCACATTTGTTTGGGGTCCTAAAATCTCGTCGTTTGAGTAGCCCAAAAAATTTTATTTGAGTTATTTAAAGAAGAAACATTGTTCTTTTGCTGGATTAACTTGATATAACCCCATGCCATGTACCAAGGTGCGATTTTACCCTCTCAATTTTGCCATTTTCTTGTCCGCCAAAATGAGTGAAATATTGGAAAAACCAAAAACTCCCCCAAAAAATTTGATTCTAGAGGAATCGAACAAAGAACACTTCAGACTGTTTGTAAATACGTGCTCTTTACATTAGAAAAATATTTGGTCACATTTACTGTTTTGTTTGTTTTCAAGCGACGTTCAATTAATGGTTGTCTAAACCTCGTGAAGCTGACGTGAGAGCCGCAAAAACTGATTTTGCCACCGTTCGCGATAAATAAAAATGCAATTGAACTCAAAGTATTTTTTCTACAAACAGTTCATCCTAACCTATATTCTGGCAAAGTTTGGAGATTATTTATTTTTTTCATATTGCACTCCTCCGTGCGATATTTACGGATGGCTGCTCTTAGGCAGGTAAGGAATAGGCTTGACTGTAAACAATTCTCTATTGGTGGAAAATCAACAATCCATACATTATTCTGTCTCGTGCATTTAATACTGATGTTTCTTCATTGTCCTGGGAATTATATTGGAATATTTATTTTGCAGAATTTAGTAAAGGATTTGATCTAGTTGATCATAGTAAGTTACAACCGGCTTGAGCTTAAAAATCTGGGTGTGAGCAATGTCTTAATTAGTCAAATGGATCTATCCTTTCCTTACCAGGAGATCTCAGATTGTTACTCGGTGGGGTCTTATCTGCCCCAGTCTATCCTCATAACCGGGTATCCCCCAAGGCACAAAGCTAGCCCCTATCCTTTTTGCTAACTTGGTTAACAAGCTGGCTGACAATTGGCATCTGCGCACTAAGTATGTGGACGACACAACAGTGTTTGAGTGAATATCTAGAAGTAGCCGAAGGTATCTTTCGTTTGTTGTTCAGGTCATTGTGGTTATGCTACTAGCTGAGGTATGCGCTTAGATCCCAAGAGGTTCAAAGAGATGATTATATATTTTCTTGAATATTAACCTATGGTTCCAGATACCATTAACATACTAGGTAATGACATAGAAAGAGTCTCAAGTTCTAAGCTCCAAGGGGCATATATATCTCAGGACCATAAGTGGAATCTGCATGTTGGGTATATTGTTTGAAGAGCTAACAAAACGCTGCATGCTTTGAGATTATCTAAGAAGTCAGAGCCCTAACATACTGACCTATTGGAGATACATAGTTCATTAATCTGATCTCTTAGTGAACATGCATCACCTATGTAGATCTTATCAAAGCCATTCAGAGGAGAGCATTAAAGATTATCTTTCCAGATAATGGTTTTGATGAATCCTTTGTTTTATCTGTTCTCCCTACCCTAAGTCAGCGCAGGTATCTTGCCTGCATCAGGTTTTTCAAGGACCTTCCCAATACTGAACCTTAAGGGTCTCTCTACAGAGCGGAAGTAGTTCCTTTTGGTTACAATATTCGGTCAGGGGATTGCCTCCTTGTAGAGAGACCCAGAGTTAGGACAGATAGATTCGCCACTTTCTCTGCTAATGAATTTTTTCCCATAAGGGGTAACCCTTAAATGTTTATTTATGACAACTTTTTGAATGCAATGAAATTGCCGTGCATGCTCTTCAAATATGATTCATTAAGGGTTATTCATCACATCGCACGCAGCGCCGGTGGGCAAGATGAAGCAAATCCTGTGTTCTGATTGGCTACCCGAGCAGGCAAGATGGGCCCATCTTGCCCGCTCAGGATTGCCCGCATTGATCCCGCGCAT